CCACAAAAACACCTGCAGGCACTGATTTCAACACTTTGTGACAAGACATTCTGTTTTTTTCAACACTACTCTTACTGTGACCTGTTAGAAATCCACATATAATCCTTGTTTTTCACACATTTTCCAGTCAACAAGTTAATATTTCCAATGAGATCCAGTTACAGAGTCTGATCCTTAGTTGTCACTCTATTTTCTTGACCTAGAAAGCCTCCGAGATGGTAGAAAGGTCTCCCTGTTTTCGAAAAAGGCCTGTGAAATCACTGCAGGTCTCAGATAGCAGCTGGCAGAAGAGTCACATGAGGTTCAGTTGTATTGATAGTCAGCTTAAGAGCTGGAATTCCCCGAGAAAAAGCACTGACCTCGACTGTTTTCACTGTCAGACCCTGAGAGGAAATGGTATTTATGAATTACACTGTTTTTCACCAAGCAAGAAAACACAGACAACCAAATCATGAGAACAGCTTTTGTACTTTCCAGATAAGTTCATTTTAAACAGGCTGCTGCCTCGACCTCACAGGAACACGCTGCGATGAAATCTGAAGCCACCGGGTGGAAATCTGTGCCATTTCTGACATATAATTTCAGATCCTTTTGTTGAGTTCGTCATCATTTCGGAACAAGTGATGCCATTCATTTAGAGCCAAATGTGCCTATTGACATGGGAATGAATGCTTTCCACCAATTATACATCAGTTTAATGCAGAATGTGACCCAGCATGTGAATATTTGACCGCTGAGCATGCTTTCCTTATCTGCATCCCTCTCGCACTCTTGCACACACTATCTGCATCTGTCTGTTTTCCTCTCTCTTTGCCTTTTCTCTCCATCCATCATCAGATTTCAGGAATTTCCCCCCTGGGAGCTGTTCAAGTACTAAGGCCAAAGCTAAAGGGTGTTTTCTCTCTACTTGCTTTCTTCCACTACCTGATCACTTAATTTTCAATCCTAAAACATCCATTAAAAATGTTCTCGGAGAATGAATTCATCTCAGTTTCATCCCAGTCAGTGACACCGCGTGCACCTGAAGGCTGACTCTTTGACCTTCCTTGGTCAATCAGGATCATCGACCTCCTTGCCGATCATGAGACCCCGTCCTCCCATCCTCGCCCCTACGCTCCCCCAGGAAACAGACTCTTGTGACACAGTGGTCTGAGCAACCATGGAGAGGCCCATTACTGCAGTCACATGGCAGGTTAGCAAAGGGACTCACAACCATGTGAGCTCTATTTTCTAACAAGTTACAGCTGCCCCGAGGCTCATGATGGTTTCATACAGGACACAGAAAATGGCAGAAAATGCATGGAGAAAACACAAAAATGCAGGATTTCTTCTCCTCGTTTTTTTTTTTTTTTTTTTTGCTTTATCCAAACGAAACAGCTGTGAGAAATGAACAGATTATGTTTCTCTGCAGGGATTTTAGTGGCAGGTGTAACTGAGTCAACAGAAAGTGAGCTGGAAATTAGATGTATATAAAGTTCTGATGTGCTTTTTAGGCATCTCTTGAGTTCACAATTATTTAAAATATGTACTTCTAAGGCACATTCAAACACCATAACATCAGCAGTTTCACAAAATCTCACTGAAGCAGACAGGTTGAAATTTTTTGGGTGTCACAGGAAGAATTGTGAAAGCCATCACTGCTATTAAAGATTTCAGTTGGTTCACTGTCCCCTTATATTATATCACTGCTGGACGCTCTTTTCTTGGTGCTGTACATTTCCAACTGAAGTTTGAAATTCATCCAATAGAGTTCAGTTATTTTAGTCACAGCCACAATAAAAAACATTTAAGTAAAAAAAAATTAAAAAAAACACAAGCAAGAATAAGTTACAGGAGTAATTTTGATTTAAAATCAATTTTAAAAAATAATTTAAAATTAAAAAAATTATATATATATAATATATATATTTTAAAGACAGGCAGGGGTGTCTGATGCAGAGACACATCAATTTGTCTGTTAGAAATTATACTACAAAACTTGCAGGAAAAACATGAAGAACATTAGACTAACGTTATAATGCAGAAACCACGTGATGTTTATCAAAATCAGCATTTATAAAGATGAATCCAGCACAACGTGAGCGTCTGAGCAGCTCTGAGGTCTGCTGACACATGCAAAGGAGCAACAGATGAACAAAACTTTACGCAGCACCAAACCATCAACTCGCCTCTTTTCTTTCTTTCTTTCTTTTCTTTGCATTTTCGTTCGTTAAAACAAATACGCATTCATTCGTGAAGTAAAGCGCAATTTCCAAACTGATGAATAGAACTCGATTAAACATCGGACACCTGGTTGAGGACAGATTTAAAAGGCCACGACGCTTTTCTTTTTCCTTCAGTGTCTGTTCGATTATAACAGATTATCGTAAGAATCTACAATAAATGAAAAAAAAAGTTATATATATATACTCGTCTATTTAACGTAATGAAAAATTATTTACGGGGATTTAAATTTAGGGCTTGATAATTATTTGAAAGGAAAAATGTGTTGAAAAGCTGGTTCGATTATTTTGTGTTAGTTACACACATTTGATAATTTGGTTTCTCTTTTTCTAATACAAAAAATAACATATATATTATGATAAAAAGGAATTTGGCCTGAAAATAAATAATTTTATGTCACACACTGAAACAGCATGTTGTATGTTGTTTTTGACCTTGAGGTGAAATATAATAAATGATGCAGCAGTTTTAAAACACAACAGTCCCTTGACATTTAAACATCTCTTGTCCCACAAACTTGCATGAATTTTCTGTGTCACTTCTTTTTTTTTTTTTCATGAATCTGCACATTTAGGAAAGACGGCAACATGGAATTTGCACAGGCACAATCAAGTAAACACCAAATAACACATAAAAATGGTTTAGCTTTCCTGGAATCGGAATCAACTCAACATTGTTAATAAATAAGATACTTGACACCTGGACTTTTTAGGATATTTGGTTATTTCTGCTGCGTAAAAGGCTACAACAGTGATTTAGAGCTATTTTGTAACTGATTATGTTCCGGATTAAATTGAACATCGGCTTCATTTGAGGTTAAATTTTAAATTATTTATTTTTTTCCATCTCCAAACCCCCGTGCCCTGTCAGATAGAGACTCCCTGGGGGGTCGTGAACATCCAGCTGCACTAACTCAAAACTGTCCGTAAAACCGCAGCCTCCTCCGGCCCTCGACTTCTGCACAAACCTCACGAAGAAAAAAAAAACTGCGCAACGACCTTGCACATTTTAAACACTTGCCTGTAAGAGCAATCCCCTCACGTCTTCTAATGCACACATACACAAAACAACAACAACACACAACTCACTTCACAAGGCTCGGAGGCCTCACGCAGGATCCACATTTAAGTTGGTTGGTTTGTTGGGGTGCAGCATGTAGGTGTCCCTCCCCCCCTCTTCCCCCCTCACCACCACCACCATCTACCCATCAGCCTCCCTACCATCAGCACCTCCGAGGCCCAGATCCAGGTGCTGCAGTTTGCATTTTGGAGAAAGCAAAGTGTCGCAGAAAACAAGAGAGGATCCATGTGTCCCGTCTGCCGCAGAGTATTTTCTATGTGTGCGCGACTAGTGTCTATGCTCGGACATAAGGAGAGAAAGACGCACACATCGCTCTCTGTTATCATTTTTTTTTCTATGTTTGCAGCACAAAACTGCTTTTTGTTCCCCTTTTTTTTCATTTACGAGGGTTAATGGATAGAGGCTTGGGCGTTTGATCACATGGCTACAATTCACCTGAGATGGAGACAAAGAGAGCAAAGAGAGAAGAGAGAGAGAGGGAGAAAACCGAGAGTCGGTCTCCAACATGAGAGGCAACAACACACAGGGGTCATTGTTGCATTCATTTTGTGTGTGTGTGTGTGTGTGTGTGTGTGTGTCCGGGTGCGCATCAGATGCTGCTTAACGTCAATTCTCTTCCTTTCCCATCAGGCCACGCTTTAACGGCACAAAATCGTGGCCTTCAAAGCGTGGAGCCGCAAATCGATCATTACGCACGAACAAAGGAATGAAGAATCAAGAGATCAACAAGATCAACAAATCAGTCCGATTTGGGAAACTGTGAAATAAGAAATGGTGGAACTGTTCATTCGGTTTGGTCCACATTCGGCCCTTTTTTTTCTCCTACTGTAGTTTTCATCAAGACAACATCTTGACTGTTAGATGAATTAAATCTGGTATTGACTCAGCAAAAAACCTGCACTGGATCCAAATTTCTGAAAAAGTTTTTCAAAGTGATTTCTAAAATATTACTCAGAATATATGATTCTCCCTCCTGATCAGAGTTGTTTTTTTCCCCTTTTTAGGTAGCATTAGTTGCCTTGTAGACGACATTTCAGATATCCAACTGTACAATGACAAAGAGAAATCTTTGAAAACATGAAGGATTTTTGAGTTATTTTGAGGCCACAAATATAATACATTTGGATCCCTTTCATGGCAATAATCCTGCTTATACTTTATCCCCCNGCTTTTAATTGGGGTCAACTTTAGCTTTATAAAGCTGAAATTTGTGAGCTACACTTCCTGCTTCAAACAAGAAAATCATCGAATCGTAGTTGAACTTTACAATTCACGGTTAATTTTTTATTTTTATTTTTTTAATCTTTTTTTTTCAGGAATGTGACCACACGGGGCAATAACTCTCCTCATGATTGTTTATTTGTTTGATATTGGGCCTAACATGTCAACACGTCTAACAAAGCTGGCCTTCTCCTGCCTCTAAATGGACGCACTGTAGAGTCATTTAAGCCACTCCAAGGTAAAGTCTCACCTCTTCTCTGTTGGAAATGTTGCAGTGATGGACGGACGGGTATTAACAGTGCGCAGCTGCCGTCCAATCGGAGAGCAGCAGGATAATTAGAGGGCCAATCAGAGGCAGCGTGGTGCTGGTGGGGGCGGGGCTGACTGTGTGCTGGAATGCTGCCTCTCTGGGAATGTTTTCCACTTTCAATCACTTTTTTTTTTCTCCCTGTCCTCCTCACAAGGCGCTCTTTAAGCTCCGGTGTTGCCACACAGAGCAGCCATTCATCGGCTCTACAGTCAGCCACACACACTTCCATGCTGAACCGCTGGACATCTAAATTGGTAAGTTATGTAATTTTATAAAGCAAAATTTTTAGCATAAAAGATACAATTTCATATTAAGATATATACTTCATATCACGATTTATGTATCCGCTGTATTTTGGTAATTTTCACCGAGAGAGGGGGAGCTTTGGCCTTAATTTGGCTTTTCTAAAAATATTTTATCGTTGGAATATTATTCTTATTATTTTTGGCTGCGTTTTTTTTTCGTCCAAACAGAATTATTATTGGCCAAAGATGCAGGTTTGGCTGTTTTATGGTCTCATTCAGTTCGCTAGATCTCTTCACCTGTTTAAGTGAACCGGAGCAAGTTTTGGTTTCAGGTGAAAAACTGAAATTATAACCAAGTCAATCTGTGGATTTTATTAGTGCTGAACTGTCCCTGTCGTGTATGTGATTTTCAGATATAGCTGCTATTGCTGAGAAAGGACTTCTAGCCGACGGTGGAAAGGATTTGGACACATTTTACGCAGCAGTATGGCTTTGCCTGAGACGACTCAGCAATAACTGGGATCGTTGGAGACTCCAGACTTTCAGTTAAAACCATTTAATCGCGTCGAATCGTTTGGACTCTCTCTCTAAAACTAGTTTTGCATCAGAGGGTTGCTGCGTTATTAGTTTAAATTATAATTATTATTTTTTAAAATGTCCGGCGAGGAGCACAGCCTGTCCGAGGCGGAGCTGAGTCCCGGAGGGTCAGACGATGGTCACTCGCTGTCACCGACTCAACCCGGAGCTCCACCCGGCCAGCGCTCACCTCTGACCGGGCCGCCACAGCAGCTGACCGCGCTCTGCGTGGCGGATGGCAGCGGGGACGATGAAGGCAGAGCCAGAGCCAAATCAGAGGAAGAGGACGACCGCTTCCCGATCGGAATCAGGGAGGCGGTCAGCCAGGTGCTGGACGGATATGACTGGACACTTGTGCCCATGCCGGTGCGCGTAAACAACGGAAACAAAGCTAAACCCCACGTCAAAAGGCCCATGAACGCCTTCATGGTGTGGGCGCAAGCAGCTAGGAGGAAGCTGGCCGACCAGTACCCCCACCTGCACAACGCAGAGCTCAGCAAGACCCTCGGCAAACTGTGGAGGTTTGTATAAAGAGCGTGTCCCAGAAAAGAAGTGTGGTCATACAGTGGCACATTTCCTGTGTTCGTGCGTAAAAGGATATGTCTGGATATTGGTGCTTATTTAAATGTAAAAGTGGACAAATTAGAAGCTCAGAATGGCGTTTTATTAAAGGGAACACCTAAAGAAGCAAGCATCAACTTAATGTTTTTTTTTTTTTGTATTCATTTGAAAGTGATATCAAATTCATAAAAATGAAGACTAATAGCCAAATTGCGAATTGTTCCTGAACTTATCCATTACGCACGACATTAATGGAGCAGCATTTATCATTTTCAGATATAATCTAAGAAAGTGTTTTCCATATTAGGTCAGATGTGTTTTAAGACTAAATCGGTCGTTGTCCCCCTCACCCCCACCCCCCTTAGGCTGCTGAACGAGAACGACAAGAGGCCATTCATCGAGGAGGCAGAGAGGCTGAGGAAACAGCACAAGAAGGACTACCCGGAGTACAAGTACCAGCCCCGGAGACGCAAAAACGGCAAACTTACGACTACGAGTGAGTCCGACAGCCAAGGAGAAGGGGAGGCCAGCCACTCCCAGTCACACTACAAGACCCTGCATCTGGAACACAATGGCGGGGCTGGGTCTCCATTGGGTGACCTGCACCACCACCACCATCATCACCACCATCCTGCTGGTAGGTGTCTCACCAGCCCGGGTCTAGACACACTATTAAAATGAGTATTTCAAAAGATATTTGGTTAAGAGAGACTACAATATGGAAATGAGACGCATTTGAGCTACAATTCAGGATTAGAAGTCAAATTAAAAATCAAAAAAGCAGAGTTGTACCTGACTGTGTTGCTCCTTCTTCTTGCCTCTCTAGGTCAGGGTCACAGCCCACCCACACCCCCCACCACCCCAAAGACAGAGCTCCAGTCTGGTAAACTGTCAGACGGCAAGAGGGAGGGGGGAGCAGGAGTGGCTGGAGGATCAGGGGGATCAAGGGGGGCCCTTGGGGTGGGAGCTGAGGGGGCATCCGGTGGTCCGTCATCATCAAGTGCTAAACCCCACATCGACTTCGGCACCATGGACATCGGCGAGATCAGCCATGAGGTGATGTCCAACATAGAGCCGTTCGACGTGAATGAGTTCGACCAGTACCTCCCACCCAACGGCCACCCTCAGAGCGGAACCGGGGCCCCTGCAGGCGGATCCTCGGCCTCATCCTATGCCTACGCCCTGGCAGCTGCTAGCGGGCACTCTGCCTGGCTCTCCAAGCAGCAGCAGCAGCAGCCTCAGGCCTCTCCGTCTTCCTCCGACCCCTCCAAGGCTCAGATCAAGAGTGAGTCTGCGTCCGGAAGCCACTATGCAGAGGCCTCATCCTCTCCCTCCTCAGGCACCCATGTCACCTACACCCCGCTTAGTCTCCCTCACTATGGCTCTGCTTTCCCCTCGCTGGCCTCCAGGGCTCAGTTTGAGTACGGAGAGCACCAGGCCCCTGGGGCGTACTATGCCCACTCCAGCCAGGCCCCTGGGCTGTACTCAGCCTTCTCCTACATGGGCCCTACACAGAGGCCTCTGTACACGACCATAGGAGACCCCTCCAGCGTTGCCCCCTCTCACAGCCCCACACACTGGGAGCAGCCTGTTTACACCACACTCACAAGACCTTGAGGGAGACCAGCTGAGCAGAGGGAAATATGGGAAGCGTGTGAGTGAATCTGTGTGTGCGAAATATGTGAATGTGTGATTATGTATGTCTCTGTATGTATGTGTGCCCGTGCCATATTGACGTTATATTAGATGTTTGTACTTTTTTAGCCAATATAATGCAAGATGCATCCACGGGGCCTTACACAGTTATAAAAACAGCCACAAGCTCACACAGTATAAAGTGTGATTCATGGGTCAACAGCCAATCAAAAGCAAGAAAACCTTAACAAACGTGTGCCATCATAAATGTACGAGTTGAAATGTCAAGTGACAAGAGGACGATGATAGAGAGAAAGAGAGAGACACACTTTGGAGTGGACAAATGTTGGATTGACTCTGATTTGACCCAGAAGTGATGGGTTTTGACTGACATAATCAGATTTTATTAACCAAACTAAAGGATGTTTTTTGTGTTATTTTATATGAGTAGTAAGTTTATTGTCATTATTGATATCCTAGGGTGTAACTTTATTGTGACTGATTTGATATTACACATATACATCTGCACCACTGCTTTGGGAAAAAGCATGTTTTGTTTCACTAAGATGTTCCCTGTTTTTTTGTTTTTTTTTCATGGCCAGAAGAGAATAGCTGCAACTTTTCTTTTTTTTCTTCTTCGTTTCTGTATATAGCACAATGTGTATCTCTGTTCTATACATTGACTTCACTGAACTCAACAATTAAGCATTTAAGGGGAAAAAATAGGAAAAAGAGAGGGAAAGAGAGCTCTTAAATATGTATTTCTCAGACATTTACCTCAGCTCTGATCGTTTTGTGCCAATAGTAAAGGAGAAATCTGACCCTGGAAACCCGATCAGCTGCAGAGATTCAAAATTTCAGAACCTCCACTTTAGAATTCTCTCCTTTTTGTTTTTTTTTGTTTTTTTTTTTTGCTTTTTAAGTGCCTAACAGTTTGCTGATTCACCTCTGATTTATCCAATAACTGAGTTAAAATCTATAAGTACAAAGTCTCAACCAAATCTCTCAAGATGATTGGCCAGCTTTGGGTCCTACTTAAGGATTAGAATCACATGTGCGACCCGTTCTGCACTGCATGTAGGCCAAAACGGTTTCTTCCTATGTTGTGCCCAAACAGCCTTCTTCCCCCTTCACCAATGTGAATAATGGTCATTACCACAGCTTCAACTTTATTATGTGACACATACTTTATCATTTTATACTGACCCTTTTACCATGTAGTTATTATTTTTATGTAATAATGCATTGTGTGTCACACTTTTGCTTCTTCCATTTTGTATAATTCTGGATAGTTTTGTAAAGTGTTTGCTATACATTCACTTGAGTATTTTTATGTGCTTCCTTACAAGAAAAGCAATGTTGAAATATTATTGTTGTCATCTATTAAATCAATTTATTTATAAAAAAAAAAAAAAGAATCCTGTGTGAGACTCATTTAATGCAGCAGTGACAGTTCAGAAATAACACGTGGAGCTGCTAGCAAGTGAAGGGTGAAAAAGGTAAATTAAAAACATACTGCTGACGTGTGAACTGTAATAACAACACAATCAGAGCCCCACCAACCTAAGCTGTTTAGTGTGTTTGTGTGTGTGGTAGGTTAAAATTGACTACTAATTCCCCACATTTAATCGGCTGGGGACTGTGTGTTACTGGGAAAGACAAAGAGAGCCATTCAGCGAGGCAGAGGGACAGAAAGAGAGAGAAGGGGTGGGTGTAAAGAGCCAGAGGCAAGGCCAATTTCAGCTCAGTAACCAGTGTACACTTGGACTTTTGTACATGGCTTTCCTTTCACGCTGCCTTCTCCGCTCCACCTGAAGTTCCCTCCCTGCCTCAGCTACAGTTTAAACCCATTCAAACGGCATCCAAAATTAAAATGTCAAGCTCATTACTGGCATTGAGTTGGAGCGTGAGGCAAACAAAAGAGGGTGATAGAAGTCGCAAAATTATAAGCGACGATTTTCAAAATGAGGGGTGAAAGATGAAATTAATGCAGAGAGAAAAGGAAAGCTTTTTACACACCCAAATTAGGAGTAAACTACTTAATTTTTAAGGAAAACCCCTAAACAATCACGGGCTACACATATGATATGTATAAAAACTGTGGCATCTTAAAAAACCTGAGTTATTGCAGTGAACTGTAAGATAAACAGGCACTGGTCAACAAATATTGGGGTTTTTTTGCTAGAAAAGAAAAAAGAGATTAAGGTGAAAGAACAGGAAAATACACTAAAATGTTCTGTTCACACTGCTGTTTCTGAGGTCCCAGGTTTTTACCCTCCTCCTGGACATTTCAAAAACTGACAAACAAACCTTGAATGGCTTAAAAAAGAAAAAGAATGTAAAATATGTGAAAATCAATTCTATGGTCATATTGGTCATATGGGAATTTAATTAGAATCTGTTCATTTTCTGTTCTGTTTCAGGAGTAGAAATAAACAAGGATCCAAAAGTAGCATTAAAAACACACCTCAGCAACTTATACGGCAGCAAAAATGAATTTCTAGTTTTAAGTCTGTTCCATTTTTAGGGCTGCCCTCCCAGTCGGACACAGCAGGCCCTTATTCAACATGTAGTGTTTGTCTTGTAGACAGACGATCACTTGCAAATTAAAGAACACAACTGAATCAAATGATACAGGTCTTGATGGTGGGAAATGTATAGTTAGCCCACCTATCTCATTAAAAAAAAATAAAAACAGCACATGGTACATATTTCTAAATATATTTGTGTTCAACAGTTAGATTTATCTGCTCTTACATGTCGGGTAAACCAAGACAAGATGCCTTCATTAAGATCAACTATTTTCTTTAAAACTTAAAACAATCAGTCATCAGGGATGCTTCGCCTACATTAGGGAGGAATTTATCCGGATGGGCTGCATCTTGCCTCTAAAGTTTTATATTTTTACTTATTACAACAAAAGTATTTGTTCTTTTTTGTTCAAACTAATGTATAACCCTTCATATGACTCTCATGTAAACACTGCCAAAGTTTGCAGATGTATATTCTTACAAAAAAAATAACAATACAGAGGCTTATTTTGTACTTTCAAAAAGTTATATCAAAATATCCCTGAACCATTTATTTTGCTATGCTCTGCTATGTACAGATAAACAAGATCACTATTGTCGAATAGGCTTGGCCAAATCAGACTCATTTACATTTTTATTCATGTATATTTGGCTGACTGATCTTATGTACTTTTGTACAGATAACACTTTGAATGCAGCACTTCTAGAGGTAAAAAGTATTTTTACATTGCTGGATTTCTTATTCTTAAGTAAAACATTCGTCACCACATGGAGATTTTGTAAAGGAAATATTGTGACTGTAGAACATATTTTCTTTTTGTATGAACCTGTGCAGGAATTTTGGCATTTCAGAGCTGGATTTAATGTAAAGATACACTGTTGCGCCTGTTATATATGATGTTGATTAAAGCTGCAATACTTATGAAGGAGAGAAAGTAGGATTTTCTGATAAATAACTGGATTTGTTGGGTAAACACTTTACATAGTTTATCCTGAGGCGAAGTCCCACGTCAATGAATAGCAGAATGAAATCAAGATATTCGCTAAATCTCTTTATTACTAATATAACTAACATACATACATAACTTTGCTCTTTACTGGACTTGTCTATGCTGCCTATTTATTTGTTTTTTGTTTGTTACATTATTTAACACTGTAGGGACATCATTTTACTCTTTGGATTATGGAATTGTTTCTCAAAGGTTTGTGCCTGAATTTTTTTCATGATAAAATATAAAATGAAAAACCTATTTAACAAATACAGTAAAGACAAATAAATGTATTTTAATTAAATAAATAAATAAATAAAACTTGTTGTGGCCCCTCTGACTCCAGCAGCTCTGTGAATGTGACTCCAGGCCAACAGTCAGCGGTGCTGCACCTTTAAACCCACCGTAGAAGAAGAACAAAACGACGACGAAGAAGAAGCTCATGACGTCATCCCAACGGCGCCAAATCTGCAGCGAACGGAAACAAACGTAACGTGTAAACTACGTTCACCGTCCAAAACAGGTCAGAATGTACTTTATTCACGTCGACAGTGATATGTGCGTCTTTCTGTTTTCTCTATACTCCCCGAGCTTCTTGTTTAAACACAAAACATCCGTATGTTTGAGTCAAAAATGCCGGTTTGAGTAGTTTGTAGCATTTAGCTAACGGCTGAATACGTGCATGCACAGTTCAGTACAAAAGATAGCAAACATCTGCAATCCGAACAGCTAACATGGTTGTCACTTACCTCTGGACAAAGCTATAAAGACGTCGTATTAATCAGTGTCGGTTGTCCTCTCTCCCAGCAGTCATGGACCTGAACCCGTTTGACGTCAACAACTCAGTGAGCTGCCGGTTGACCTCCGAGATCCCAGAAGTCTGCAGGACGGAGGACTGCTGTCTGGGCATCGACGAGGCAGGCAGGGGGCCTGTGTTGGGTATGCAACTTTATTCAGTTTGGAAAACTGAAAAGAAAAAAAAAAAACGTGTTGAAAGAAAACGAGGATGTCGCCATAATGTAAAGGCTGACACTACACGCCAGCCATTCAATTAGAATCAACTTCATTGGCCAAGTTTGTACACGCAAACAAGGAATTTGACTCCGGTGAATCGTCTATGTATAAGAAATAAACTAGAACTTTCTAATCAGAGTAAGGACAATAAAAGTAAGAGTAAGTCTCTCACTGCAGATAAGTGTTAGTATTTATAGCCACATAATGCACATAGGACAAATAATGTCACTGTCCTTGTCATCCGAGAAAGGGATAATCGTTTCAATGGTTTGCACATATACACTGTCATCTAACCTCAGCTATGTTCTCCAAAGTGCTTTGCCATGTGATTCTCATTCACCCACTGACCTACACTCACACACCAATGGCGACAGAGCTGTCATGCAAGGTGCTTGTCTGCCATTGGGAGCAACCCAGGGTTCAGTGTCGTGTGCAAGGGCAGTTTGGCACATGTTTGAGATTATTCATTTTATTTACAGTCTGAGCTCCAGGTGAATTTGATTTAGCAATTAAATATGCCATGTAGTATATGTACTCATTGTGTTTATGCATTTTGTATTTCAGGGCCTATGGTGTATGGGATATGTTTCTGTCCAGTTTCCAAAAAGGAGGATCTAAAAGACTTGAAAGTGGCAGGTAATCCTGTTGGCCTGCATCAGTGTAATTGGCGTTTGAGAAGAATGTCTCCTCCTGACTGCTGTCTTTCTGAGGAACTTAAGAAAATGAAAAAAAATCCCTGATTGAAAAATACCACCAGCAAATAAATGTCTTTCACCAGTGGTAAATGAAATTATTCTTTTCATCCTCACTAATTTGTCTCTCCCATGTCAGATTCAAAGACCTTATCAGAGCCAGAAAGAGAGAATCTTTTCCAAACATTAGATGAGGCCAAAAGTTATGTTGGCTGGGCTCTGCAGATTCTCTCACCCAATACCATTTCTACCAGCATGTTACAGAGGTAATTAACACACATCCGGCATCCTGCACATGGAGGCTTGTTACTGTGATTCACACTCATTAACATAATATTGGATTTTGTTTTAAGGACAAAATACAACCTGAACGCCCTTTCACATGATACAGCAATTGGTCTAGTGCAGTTTGCTTTGGACAGGGGAGTACAGCTGAAGGAGGTGCGTAAACAAGTAATTTACATAAACGTAAATGTGCACACTCAAGTTCTAACTGTGTTGTATAGGCCTAATTTCCATTGTCTCTATGGAGAGTAATTGTGCTTCAGTGTAGTCCTTTCCAGCCGTATAGAGCACCTTCTTGCGTCTATAGTCCGGCCACCAAAATGCAATAAATCACCAAACTTGCTGCAGTTTAATCATATTTGAGACTGTGCTGTTTGTTTCTATTCCTGACCCTGAAGAACTTTTGATTAAATGTAATATTGAAATTAGTTTGATCAAAGGCTGACCAAATTTTTTGTATTTTCCAGTAAACTGGGAAAGTTAAGTGTGGAATACGCCGCATGATTTCCGAAACACTTGGAAGGACCTTCTTCAAATTTGACACAGATGTTCACTTGGACTAAAGGATGAACTGATTAGGTTTTGGTTGTCAAACGTCACTGAAACCTCACTCAGAAGTTCATGCCCTACGATTGACAAAATTTGCAAAAATGTCTATGAAATGTGAAAAGTGATGACATTTTATATCCAAAAGGTCAATTTTAGACAGACGATGTAAACTGTAATTTGATTGGTGGAATCACATAACCATGAGGCGTTTATTCTAGTTAGTATTTTACCTTGATAATCTGACAGAAGCACATGATTAGCATAAGCTCATAACAAACTGCAGACAGTGCAGTAGCAAGTGTTTATTATTTAGAAGTCATTTTCCTGTCAGATTAAAAAAAAAAGAAGTAATTCTTCAATAAACAGACAAAGATGATATAGTCATTTATCTTTTTCATTCAAACTTGATGTGACGCCTCTTTCTTCTTTTGCATTTTTCCCTATTTGCTCCATCTGTTTTGCTTTGGCCTGTCTTCTTCCATCTCTCTGATGTGCTGCAGGTTTATGTGGACACAGTTGGTCCAGCAGAGAAGTACGAGGAGAAACTTTCTAAGCTGTTCCCAGGTATTAAGGTGACTGTGAGGCCAAAAGCTGACTCCCTCTTCCCCATTGTCAGTGCAGCCAGTATCTGTGCGAAAGTAAGCAACCAGCCGCATCATGGATTTTAATCTTTGTCTCATGCCATTAATTCTCATGATTATTGTGGTTTGTTAGCCCCATAACTCCTCCACAAGGCTGTGTAGTTACCTTGAATCTTTATTGAATGAAGGTGATCTTATGAGTGGTGTTGAACAGTAAAGCAAAATTTTATTTGGTTTTTGCATGTCTTTCTCTTAAAGTAACACAATAGTATTTGAACTTAACACGCAATGCAATTTTAATTCTTTTTCTTAAGATGATGGTTGGTTTTGGTGATTTTTTTTACACAGGCGTGGGGATCTGAATCCACCTTTCCATTGTGTAACTTTTGTGACTATGTTGTGTGGGAATCAGTTTTTGGGTTCTTTGAAGTTTTATTGTTTTAGACCAATCTGTTTGAAAAGCAGAATGTAGTTTTTATGTATTTAGCAGATGTGTGGATAAGTGCACTTGTCTTCTTCTTTTTTTTTTTTTGCTTCAAACGTCCTGACTCGAACTCGACTTTAGGTACAAAGTATGCAGTCGTTTTTGCGGTTGTGAATGCTTGCATGGATTTACTTGTTACATCAGTGGCCTCTATTTAATATTATTCTAGTTAACAATACCATGCTACTGTTTATGTTTTTAAGTCTGAGTTTTCTGATGCAGTTTGCATTTTTCAGGTTGCTCGGGATCGAGTTGTGAAAGGCTGGAACTTTGCAGAGGACCTTGGAGAGGTGGACACAGATTATGGCTCAGGATACCCCAATGGTAATAAACAATTCACATATGTTGTAGTCCTCCCACAATTACATCCTAAAATATAATGGGATAAAATTAGTATTTGAATGATGTTGAATGTTAGCAGGCATTTCATTTTTTTAACATTCATTTCCCTTTAACACTAAATAAGCCTGATGGTTAAACAATTTTACATGCATGTGGAAACTATAAATGGACAGGCACTGAGAGCTACTCTTTCTTGTGTTTCCAGACCCAAAGACTAAAGCATGGCTGCTGAAGTACCTTGACCCAGTATTTGGTTACCCTCAGTTTGTTCGATTTAGCTGGAGCACTGCTCAAACCCTGATGGACAGCAAGGCGGTGTCTGTCCACTGGTAAAGAGCCTTTATTTTAAACCAACATCCTTGGATGTATGAAAATAGGGCTTGATTTAAGAAGCTTTTGGAAATCCAGCATAAAATGTGATTTACAGTATCTGCCCTTTGGTGATTCTGCTCTGAGAAAATTGTTGTTGCTGCTATTTGTTCACATGTATTTAGCTGATAAATATTTTCTCAAAACATTAAACTAGTTTCCAGATTTCCAGATTGTGTTTTTCAATTTACTTTGTGTCTTTGTAGATAAGAACATTTGCATGTGGTAGTATTTGTAAACCACAGCTCCTTTTGATTTGCAGGTCACACTTGAAGGCTGTGCAAATCATTTGTCCTCAGGAGACGACTACTAACCACAGTGTAAAAACCAGTTTTCTTTCGTTGAATCTCTCCTCAGGGATGACGATGAAGAAGATGGAGAGAAGGCAGCGCAGCGGCAGAACAACAGGTCCATGTTGTCCTACTTTGGTGCATCAGCTGGAGGGAATGACCAGAATGGGACCCACCAGACACACCGCTACTTCACTGATCGGAGACTGAAGAGTCTCAACACTCTCTAAAGACTTTATTATCATATATACTGAAGATTGTATGCGCACTGGGGGATTTTCATATGCAGCCAGTATATAAACTCAGAAGGACTTTACTAAAGCATCGCAGACATGGTTTATCACCGCTTGTATCACAATCTGTCTTTATCTGTCCTGTTTGTACCTGTTTTTATACATAAATATAATTTTTAAAAATTGTCTTATGCCTTCTGAAGAGGTCTTGTTTTCAAATTCTGCACTGCACTTGTGAAGGAAAAGCCTGACTGGGTGGGGTTGCAATGTTTAATGTCAACACTGCCCTCTATTGGCGATATGATATACCAGAGATTTGAAAAGCATCATCAGGGTTTCACATGAGCTGTGATGGCTTCCTAACAAACCATGTTTATAAGGCTTCACCACAGTTTGACTACTGCAGTATATAAACTTGTTCCACAGATATTTAAATCGTAGTCTGTGTCCAAAATTCGTAGTACATATTCATTCTATACAGTTTTAGCAATTAGTGTTAAAAATCAACAACTACTTTACAGATCCCAAGCAAAATGTATTTTGCATGCTTTATTGCTACATTTGTTTTCCAAGTTTATTTGCTGAACTTGAAAAAAAATAGATAAAAATTTCAACGTCGTCCACAAATCAATTAAGAAATGCTCAGCTTTGAGCAGGTTGTCCATTTCTTTGGGTTTTGCATTTTGTCAGAACAATGTGCGTCAACAACACTCAAAAATCTGGTTTGCTTGCTGTCTGAATATATCTAATTTATATACTAAAAATCTGTGTGCTCAAAAGCTGTTCACAATTCGTATGAAGTATGGACTTAGGACACATCAATAGTCCCTTCGTGTACATAGATCGGTCACAATATTACCAGGTAAAGGGAGTATCACTGATCATCTTATTACAATGAAATGTTCTTCTGAGAAACCTCGGGTCCTGCATTCATGTGAATGTTACTTTGATAGGTACCACCCTCCCAAACACTGTCACAGATTGGCTTCCCTTAGCAGGACAATGTGCCCTGCCACACAACGGAAACTGCTCAGTAACAGCTTGAGGAACACGACCAAGAGCCCAAGGTGCTGACCTGGCCTCAAAACTTCCCAGTGGCCAATTCATGTAGGGTTGGCTGGATGTACCTGAACAAGTCCGATTCAAGGAGGTCCCACCACACAACCTACAGGACCCAAAGGATCTGCTGCCACTGTCCCAGAACTAGACAATGCAGAGAAACTTCAGAGGTCTGGTGTGCATCCCCTGACGGATCAGAGCTCTAATGGGGGACCTATATAAAATTACGTAAGTGTATTTAAAGTCTTGGCTGATCAATGTGAATCACAATATTTAGGCTGTAGAATTGTCTTAGTCTGTAGCTTGTACTTTATGTTTTCCTCCTTGTAAGGAATAGGACTGACAATGACACCAAAGTTTCAGTACCAGTGTCAAAGCAATACTTCAAACAAGTCTCTCATCTTAACAATACCCTGCTTTGAGCAGAACAAATTGTATTTCTGCAAAATCTGTACATATTTAAGTAAAGTAGCTGAAGGAAAACAGTTAAACTACCTGAAAACAAGCAATCAGAAATGAATATTGCCTAAACAAAATCTAGTCATGTTTTCAAGTTGGAAAAAGAGCAAGTTCTTAAGTAAGGATTGAAAACAAATTTTAAGTACTTGGCAGGTTTTGACAACTGGTGTTGCCACATTTCTTTTGATACCAAAGAAGCGTTAAGACACATAACCCAGGCCTTTTAGGAAAGATTTCCTTAAAACAAGGTTTGCTTTTATTCTTATACTACTGTTATATATATATACATATTTCATCTTTAGATTTTTTCATCCATTATTTTCAGTTTTACAAGTTTGAGGTAGAACAAGGATGAGGTTTGCATATTGGTTCTTTCTTTTAAATAATCCAACAAAGCACAATTAGAGTCCAGAGATTCATCTTGAGGTGATTTTCAACTGTTTGTGTTCCAGAAATCACAACAGTTCCTATGTTGTTGGTCTACCTTACATCCCCTGATGGCTTCATCCTCTTCTGACTCTCCAGGATTTTTCCGTAATAGGTTTTTTCTCCAGACTAACACTTAGCAACAGACTTTATGCAACAAGTAACTCAAATTACTCACACCACATTACACAGCTGACTGTCAGTGCAGTCATGTCATTGTAAAAATATATTCTTGCTTGACTTGACCAGGTTAACAAGCATTAGCATAGCACAACATGTGTATCCACCTGTCCGCCACTGTTAGTCCCTGTCGAGTTTCTGTCTGGACTCCTGGATCTTCTTCCCACAGTTCATGGCTAAAGTGGAGACAGCAAATGAGGACAGGATTATGATGGAGCTCCCCACAAAATGAGACGATGCTCCTCTGGGGACCGCTCGCAAGACTTTCCTGGGTAAAGAGTCTCTGTCGAAGGCTGTGGTGGCGGTCAGCGTCTGGACCTCAGACTCCATGGCTGTAGATGGTCCTCAGATGTCCAGAGGCTGAAAGGGAGTCAGTATCAGGAGGTCAGGCGTTGGGTCTGCTGCAGCCTCAGCAGGACGTGTCTGAATCTCTGTCCTGACCCACACGTTGCTGATCCTGATCTCTGGTGTCCTGTCTGATTCCTTTCTTGGTCCCTCCTTGAACATCCATTTATAACCTCTCCAGGCTTCTCCTCTAATTCCTCTAAGAGGCCTGATGCACTACTGCGTCAATGGGATTAAAAATAGTTAGTGCATGCCCTTAGAGGACGACGGTGGGGATCTTTTTCAGCTTCAGACTAGCCATTGTTCCATAGACAATTAATGGAGTTGTTCATAGGATGGAAGCTTATAGTCTTTGGTTTGTAAACATGTAATTAGGAAGAGTCCTAAGCAATGACAGGTTGGAGGCACAGAGAGACATTTCCACATGCCTTCATGTAGTTTCTGTGCCAGGATGTAAATGGTCTGGACTTAATGCTTTTTCACCTTACGAGCACTCAAAGCACTTTACAATGTGCTTCTCATTTATACACACTGACACTGCTATCATGAGCAACTTCTGATTCGGTGTCTTGCCCAAGGACACTTGGGAACATGTAGACACCAGGGATTGAACCAGCAACCTTGCAATTAGTGAACAACTTGTTCTTTCACTTGAGCAACAATCCCTCTTATTTATGCATCTGTACTTTTGTTGATATTACAAAATACCAAATTAAATCTAGACCATAAAGCATCTCTCAAAGTTTACAAAAGTCATTTCGTTAAAGAAAACAAATAGCCCAATGTCTGCAGTCAGTAAGGACCAAGGTGAAGCAGATTAGAGCCTTTGGCAGCAATTTTGTTTTTCCATTGATTACTGACTGTACCTGATGCAGGAAGAGTTGCCAGGATGAGTCACTCCAGACTATCATCAAGGACTACTGTGGTTTTTCTCAACCCATAGTGTTCATTCCCTTAGTTAAGAGAGTAGAGCTGTAGACAGACTGAAAAGAAGATCAATCAAAGGTCCAGGCTAATTTGCAGGAAACAAGTACATCTGATTAGGAAACTGTATTATACAGATCAGCCTACAAAGATGAGTTTAGTGCTAATAATACCTTTCATACAGATCTGTGTATCTAGTCTGAAAAATATTTTATTAAATACAGACAGCTTATTTGCTGATAAACAACACATTGATGTATTTGTTAATTTATTCTATATTGCATTTTAAATCATTGATTCTGGTAAACTTAAACACTTCAAAGCTAACATAATTATCTTTTTTATTTGCAGATTTGTGTGGTTTATACAAACCACAAGGCCTATACAATGCAACAATTTGCTGCTTCTCTCAATTTTATGTTATTGTCAAGTTTATTTATCTCATTATTTTTTTGCACTTCTAGTAAGAAATTATAAATTTTTTAATATTTCAGAATTTGGTATTGGCGGTTTTAACATTTTTTATACTAACCACACATAATTACAAAAAAATATGATTATTTATAGCCCTAGCACAGACCATGAAATGCACTAACTGTGCATTATTATTGATAATTATTTCATAGCTCTATGTTTGTTGCTATTTACATGTGTCATCTAAAATGCCAGTTTTGTCAGCTGTGACTTTTGTGTTGTCCTCAGCACCAAGAACTGGCACCTCCTCACCACGACCCAGGACACCTGAGGTCAGCTGATCTCTAAATCCCTGAGGTTGTTACACCAACACCCAGTTTCGTCTCATGGCATCTCTTTAATTCTGCAAATTGGATTGCACCAGTTCTTTTCCACTATTGACACAGAAAACTCTCATGAATGAACATTAAGCGGGAAAACAGTCATAGTCATATGAGACAATTCAAGTGTGATTCTGAGAAAATTACAAGGAGTAAACAGTAGTGCCATAGTGGAGTTATTCATTATGTAAGTATCTACAAATTCAACAATCCCCAAGCTCTTCTTTGCCCCATTAGTCTAAGTCTCTAATATACTAGTATACATTTTTAGACTGAACTCGAGGTGTGTGCTGTATTCATCTAAATATCAATAATTGGCAATAATTAATACAGATTTCACTGATATTAACACTGATACATATGCATGCAAGGGCATGAAAATGGAAAAATTTCCACTTTGTTGACTTTCAATACAAAATAATATTATTTTAGGGCCATCTCTTATTTCCCCCAAAAAACAATAAAATGGTAATAAGTTGTGAAGCGTGTTAGCTAATGAAGTAACCAAAAGTATCAGAGGGCAAATGCCATCATCTGTGCTCGTGACCTTTGAGAAGTTCTTCATTAAACTGCAGAAACGTTTACTTGGCATTTTTATGTTGGCACCAACCTGAGTAAAGATTTAAAGATGATTGAGCAGATGAGTCACCACTCGATTTGAATTAATATTCATATGGCTATCGTTAAGCTTTTGCTGAATGTCATATACTGGACTGTACAGTCCCCCTGCAGTCGCAGTAGTTTGATCTAAAGCTGCATCTTGTCTGTTGTTAAGTCATCCGAGCCCCAGTCATGCAACCTCCGGAATCCACAGATGCTGTTGTACTTAAAATTTAGATTAAATTATGTTTGTCCCGCTTCCTCATGGGGCCTGACATTTGCTTGCTGCATTCACCACATGGTGGTTTATTTTAATTGGAATAGCTGATTCTGTCCACATGGTGTCCCTGTTGCCCCAAAATGATGCACTGGACTACTTTTTCTAGCCTGGTCTACATGT